ATCTAGAATTCTTGAATTCTTGATGAGTCTTGGATTCTTTGAATTCTTGATGAGTCTTGGATTCTTTGAATTTTTGATGAGTCTTGAATTCTTGAATTCTTGATGAGTCTTGGATTCTTTGAATTCTTGATGAGTCTTGAATTCTTGAATTCTTGATGGGTCTTGAATTTTGATAATTCTTGAATTCTTTGAATTATCTTGGACTCTTGACCTTATCCTAGGARCTGCCGCCCCTAGGAGTGAGATGGGCCTTGGGATGGGCCTCCATCAAATAATCTGTTCAACACATGAATAAATATGTTCAAGAATGAAAGTGTCCAGAAATTAGCTCATGAATTTGTTCATGAACCCATGAATAAATATGTTCAAGAACAAATATGTCTAGGAATTAGTTCATGGATTTATTAATGAATCTATGAATCAATCTATTCAGAAAAAACTTGTTAATGAATCTAACCAGCTTTTGTTGGACATATTACCATGTATTTTTTTGTGAATGTGTGAATCATTTTGTTCACTATGAAATAGGAGAACACAAAGGAGGAAACCATCCATGCATGAACTCCATGAGTTGCATAAAGCTAAAGCTTCACTTCTTATTCATGGATTCACTAAGGTGCATGGTTATTGGAAATTTGGAACACTGCCTTTCAGTGTTTGGTTACAACTTCAAAAAGGTTCACTTATATATGAAATTTTTCTATGGAGAGAGAAAGCTATTGAGTCTCCACAAATTAACTATTAGTGGTGTAGATAAGTGTTTCCTTCACTTTAACATTCTAAAACTTACACAATACCCTTTATACAATGWTTGTGGCAGATTATAAATGGGATTACTGAATGGAATTACTCAATGGTAATTCCTTTCAAGACATTAAATGTTCAGTAATTCCATTTAGAAAATGCCATTTAATGTGTTGTAATAACCACATTAAAGGGAAAGAGGAAATACCATTTAATGTGCTGAAAAGAATATGGAAAGGGGAAAATCAATACACGTAGACTCCATCACACCATCCTTAGATCTTTTATTGCAACCATAGATTTTCTGAATGGAATTACCAATTACTTTCTTCAGCTTTAGCCCTGAATGTAATCAAATGCAATGCAGGTCGCATGTGGTCAGATCAACCAAGCTCGACCAACCCACCATTAGATAGATGATGGATGAGAAGAAGATCGTTTTAAGACGACCCAAGAATGAATCAGCGATCACGGCCCCAAGCAAAGGGAGAAGAGTTGATATTCTGATCCAGATGTTGACGTTCTTGGCGGATGTGGCAGTGGCTCCGCCGAGGACATCTGTGAGGTACGTGATGAGGTTCCCCAGCATGCCATAGTAAGCGAATCGTTCAGCAATTTCGACGCCTGATGTAAGAAATATCAAGCATAAAGAAAACATATATAGAAGGTTCGAACTTTGAACAGACCCAGCTCACCAGCTGATGAAAAATTACAGTCCAAATAGTGAGACTTGCCGTTGATATATATTGCCGATCTCCGTCCACCATTAGAAGATTCTTGTTGCAGAGAAAGCTGCATAGGTTGAGGCTCCATGTAGAGAGATGTAATAATGGAGGAAACAATCTAACACCAAATCGTATTTAAAGTGAGCCCAAGTCACCTACTGATGAAACATGTTTGAATTGAATCCAAATAGGGATGTTTTACAGCTTCCCAATTAGTCTTGTAAGCAATTCGGTTACTTCACATTAATTGTACGATCTTTATTACAGGCTAGATTGTATTGTCCAGGTTTCCAAAACATGTTTGAATCCGAATTTCATTTGATTGTATTCGGTTACTTCACATTAATTGTATGATCTTTATTACGGTGATGACATGCTGACCTGCGTTGCATTTGATTGTATTCAAGGGCATCAGCCACTAAGGTTATGTTTGGTTTGATGGAAAAAGTAGGGAAAGGAAGGGAACCTGCATTTCCAAACCTTTTCCTATTCTTTCGTTCAAACCAAACATAGCGTAATTGTTATAAACAAATTCTGAGGAGACAATTTTTCCAAGGAAAGTTAAACTTGAAGTAGGTGATCTAGGCCTAATTGGGCTTCAAGTATCTAGCCTAGCATGATACCCATCCTTTGATCAGGTTGAATATTAGCCTAGCCATGGCATTTAACTAACTTGGCCAGGTTATCCAGGGCTGCCACTACCCTAAATCACCCTATACCCTTAGAATAAAACGTTAATTCAACCATCAGTAGTTAATGAAGCAGCTTAGATGCAACCTATTTCAATCAGAGCTTGGCCCAAAATCACATGTCATATATAAAACACAGTATCTTGGCCCATTTAGGGGTTGATGAGTAGTGTGGATATTCCGTGTATCATTTGATTCTGGAACATATCACACTCATTCGCAATGTTTTAAAAATCGACCTGGAATTGGAACCATTTTGGTCACTGGTTTTTGGGTTGATGGTTTGACCACCCAATTCGAATTAATCATTYGTCCTGACAATATATTTAAAACTAAAAAATAATTAAAATAAAAAACAGTTAAAAACTGTTAAATGAATCGTTGATCAATTTAACAGTTTTTGGCTGAGGACCGGGTTTGAAGTAAAACAGAACCGGTTGCTTAAATGATTTTTAATCCAAATGATCTGACCGTCTGGATCAAAGGTGATTCGAAAACATTGCTCATTGGGCACTGCTTTAGGGGCTTGGCATGTTTTATAACCATCTGTGAATGGTTTTGAAACAGAAAATATCATAACTTCCTTCTCCATGTCAAAGCCTCTCGGTTCTGTCCATGTCACAGTAAATGAAAAGATTATTATATATAATGTAATAAATGATCAAAATATTTTATTTAAAATCTTACTAATAAATCGATACCATGATTTAGAATACCTTATCATATAGGTGATTACATTGGCTCTTTACAGATAGCACCTGCACGCGCCCCACAAGCATATCCCAACCGTGCATAGGAACATCTACCAATGAGACCATGTGGTTTCAACTTTCAACCACACAAATGTGGGGTTCCACTAGATTCAAACACACCATACCTCATACACACAAAGTTCAAACTATTGCATCCTATCATGCCAATTGTACAATATATATTGGTTTTTGAACCCATTCAAACACTATTTACTAGGAATTTGGGATTTCTTTATGTTTAAACATTAGAACCCATCTTAATGTTTCCATCTGTAAAATACAGGACTGAACAAATTTAAAAGATAAAAAGGTTATCCCCCTTTGGAAACATGTACACAAATACACACCACACTAATAAGAACCCCTCTTCTACAAACTAAGCTAGCTACTCTTCTGGATGACTGGTTCAGCCTGAAATTCACAGAGATTACTCAAGAAAGCCTCTATGGAGAATCACCACCACTAATTAATTTTCTTGTAAACAAAGAATTTAGCAATACCCATATAAATGCCAAGCCACAGAGTGCTCAGACCTGCAAGTAACCAGTAATAGTAGTCAAGGTGTGCCTTATTAAGATTGTTACCCAACCATTCATCTCCATACTTTGAGCTGATTGCCTGCACAATGGATATAAGAAAGCTGCTCAGTAAGCTCCCAACACCAAACATGCTAAGGAAAGCCGCAGAACCGATGCTTCGCATATCGTCTGGCATCTGATCATAGAAGAGTTCTGTCAATCCAATAGCTGCAAACACATCAGAAACTCCCCAAATTATGTACTGTGGAAGCAGCCACCAAATGCTCATAGGGAGAGTTATCTTTGGCTGTTCAAGAAGACCATGCTCTTCACTGATGTGAATTCTTCTGGCCTCTACTAGACCTGCTACAACCATGCCAACAATTGAGAGAAACAAGCCAATTCCAATCCTCTGGAGCATTGTCACACCAGATGGGATGCCAGTGAGCTTTCTTGCAATGGGGACAAGAGCTCGATCATATATGGGCACAGACAAGATAATTGTTAGAGTGATGGACACTTGAAGTGATGCAGGAGGTACATGAAACTTTGAACCTATCCTTCTGTCCATTGTCCTACCTTGCTTTGTGAAGAAGGTGTTGATTTGGGCGTATACAACTGCGAACATCAAGCCACTGAACCAAATGGGAACCAAACGCAGGAGAAGCTTCACTTCCTCAACTTGGGTCACTGTGCAGAGCCTCCAGTTGTTTCTGCCGTTGCTTGACAAATCAACATCGTCTATGATCGTTGCTTTGTCTAAAAACCTGTTTTTTTCATGTTCATAAGACAATGAATAAGCTGGTTTACATGTGTTTTGATTGGGCAAGAAATAAAGGACTAAAGGCTGTGTTTGGTTGCAGTGCAAATTTATTTGCATTTGCGTAGTACAAGTGCATGGGAGTGCAAATGTAAAAAATATAATTTCTTGTTTAATTTTATTTTGCATTTTACTTTATTCTGCTTCATGTATTAATTTACTTCATTTCAAACAAAATTAGTTAAAATTTGAAACAAAAATAGTTCAGAATTTACACTCAAATCATTTGCACTGCCATGGTTTTCCATAAGTGCAACCAAACACAGCCAAAAGGGTTGGAATAGAATAGATGGCTACATAATATGTACCCAAAAATCTGATTCATTTTGATCCTAACCCAACAATGAAAATAGTTGGTTTTTAAATTGGGTAAGATCTAAGTTGGGCCTTGGATCTATATCGGGCTTCTTGATGATGCATAGAAAAGCACACATGGGCTGGTGATTTGAGTTTGTCATCCATCTCAAGAGGATCCTTTGGTTAGATCATGTCAATGGTCCAGGTCTGTCGACAGTGTAGAACCAACCCCACATCCAGCCCAACAAGCCCTACCTCCACAACCGGATTTCCTGCCCACTACTTTCTACCCACGCCATGAATTACAGCCACACACATTCATCTTGTATTGTGAGATGTGCGGCTGCAGTGTATTGTGGGTAGAGTTTGAGTAGAGAGCCCCCATGTACACAGAATACTGAACATCTATAGGAATTGTTTGTGAGATGTGCTTGCTTTCTATTCTGTGTACGGGACCGTGAACACATCTTGTATTGTGAGATGTGCTAACCAGGTGTACACGACTTTTTATCATCAATCACACTAAGGGGGCATTCTTTTTTTGGATTTTGAGAGGGGAAAGTCAATAAGACTTTGATTCCCATTGATCAAGAATCTCATATTCTTTTTTTTTTTATTTATGTAAGGACCAGAAAAACTTATCGGGATAAGTGATACCCATCTCCTAGGTGGATAAATAATTTTCCCACCTAGGAGGAAAGTTGCCAACACTTGAATGAGAAAAAATGCCCTTTTTAATAATGGATTTTTTTATGACTAAAACGGTTATTGCCTTATTTACACAAAAAATAAAAGAACATATGTAAATGCACTTACTCAGGTAAGTGTTTTTTAAGAAAAACTTACCTAAATAATTGCATTTACTCGGATAAGTAACTTATCGAAAAGCGAACAGAGCCTAAACGGTAAATCCTTAGGTTGCGTTTGATTGTAGTATAAATAAATTTGCATTGGTGCAAAACAATGGATGTACAAATGATTTGGGTGCAAATTTTAATTCATTTATGTTTCAAATTTCACCTTACTTTATATGATTGCGTAAGATGTGGAACAGAATGAAGTAAAACCCGAAACAAAATTAAACTAAAATTTGTATTCTTTTTATTTGCACTCTCATGCATTTGTACTAGTGCAAATAAAATTGCAATCAATTTGAAAGGCATAAAAATACAAATATGTAAAGTATAAAACCTTGTATTTTGTATGAATTTGTACTGTACATATTTGTATTTATACTCTTTCCAAACTGAGCCTTAATTTCAAACCGATTATTTATGTGAAATGTCCACCAGGATACCAATTACTTATGTGAAATGTCCACCAGGATAAGATTCTTATAATTGACCATTTTATCTTCACAGGGGACTTACAGAGTAAATGCTAGTGAATTTTCATCTCTTCTAAGATATAATGTTTCTTCTCTGAAAGGTAACGTTTGAAAATATTAATGATTTTAAGGAGATGAATGAATCCATTGAGTATGCTTTCTCCAACCCCAATTTGGTTTATTAATTTGGGGCTCTAATTAAGGGCGTCAATGGACCAGCTTGGATTGGACCCCATCCAGTCCAAAATCAATTTGGACGGATTGAATGGACCACCAAGATATATTGGATTCGACCAGTCCGGTCCAGAATATTTATTAAATTGGATTGAACCTGATCCGTCTGTAACAAATTTATATTGGATTGGGTTGGATTAAGTCAATATCTGGTCTATTAATATAAGATAAGAATATGTGCCAATAGACCAAGTTTGAATTGAAATCAATATAAATCAAAATGATTTTGAACAGATTGGATGGTCCAAACATTGAATTTGACCAATCGAAATTGGTCCAAAACATTCATTGAATTGGATTGAATCTGATCCATTTATAATGGATTCACATTGGGCTGGATCGGATTGAACCAAATCCAATCCAATTGACACCCCTAGCTCTAATGAGTGATGTTAGAACTTAGTTCTATTTTCCTTTGTTATTATATATAAACAATTGATAGAACAAGTTCAAATAACTGTTCATCTTGGAGCTAGCTTTCAGGCTTTGTAGCATTATTACAGTAGGAACTTTGCAATTTTGTAGTGGTTTCTCTAATAAAATTTTGTTCCTACCTTTTAAAAAATATTCTCCTATTTTTAGGCTATTTTAATAAAATTTTATTTCCTTAATTATATAGGTTCTATCGCACAAAAAATGGTTGAAATGCTTTCCCTATTTATCACCATAAAAAGGAATTGCTCCTCCCAATTGTTTTCAAAACCCTTAGTTTCAGTCATGGGAGAGGTAGGTTTAGGTAGTATATGGAAATATTTGTTTAGTCTTTATTTGTTTGTGTTGCAATTTCATTTGCACTAGTGCAAATGAATTGAAAGTGCAATCGAGAAGAATGTAAATTCTAGTCTACTGCTTTGGCTTTCATATTACTTTACTTGTCTCCATTTGAAAGGAGTACAAATACAAATATGTAGAGCGCAAAACCTTGAATTTTGTAGCCTTTGGTTTTATTTGTGTTGCAAAGAAAGAAAACATGAAAAAAGTCTAAACAAAAATAAATCAAAATTTACATTCAAACTATTTGCACTCCTAGCTTATACACCATTGTGAAAGAAATTGCACTGCAAACATACCAAACTCAACGCTCAGTTTGGAAAGAGTACAAATGCAAATACAGAGTGCAAAACCTTATATTTTGTATATATTTGCACTGTACATATTTGCATTTATACTCTTTCCAAACTGAGCCTAAAGAGTTCTTCCAAATGCATCATAATTTGGAGCTATGATGCCAAAAATGCATGCAATCTATTAAGACATGATGGATGAAAATGAAAATTTAGGTTGCATTTGATACCATTGTTGGTTTGTATGTATGAGATGTGTTGGATTATCAATACAAATTGGTGAAAGATGTGTTTCCACATCACATATGAGAACCATTTCAACTAGAATTATTAAATTCACCCATAGAACTTTCTGCAAACGTACTCATGCATTTTAAGGTATGCTTGTTTTAACTAGAGAGTCTCAAAAGTTGTATACTATTTTGTTTTGATCAACTCAATGTGTTTTAGGCAGAAACAACAATGGTACCAAATCAAGGTTCAAAGTATTGACACATATCTGTCCGTATCGGCCAATACGTATCATTTCAGAAACTCCCCGATAAGAGGGTGTACCAGGGTTCTGACCTATTCAAGGGGTAGAAGAGCCTTAAATTTCCCCTGAACCAATTTTGAAAAAAATAAAAAAAAGTAAATAAAACAATACTGATATAGCCTAATATGTTCCTACCGATGTATTGAGCGTATCGATATTTTGAACCTTGTACCAATCACAACCTTAATAATAGAACCATTCAAGTTTTTGTCATCCAATCTCCCCTATCAATTAGTGTGGTTTAGGTTGTAAAGAAAAAATGACTCTTGTTTTATATAAACCATGGTTTTCAAAATCGGATCAGACCGAAAAAACCGAGAACCGGTCAGCTGACTAGATCTGTTTTACCCAAAAATCGTTATTTTTGCCAAAAATGTTGATTTGGTCAGCAAACTACTGGCCCAGGCGGTCAAACCATTCAACGGTTTTGGAAATTTTTTATTTTATTTTTTGTCAAAACAAACTATCCGTTTGATTCAAACAGTCAGACCATTCGACCCAAGAACCAGACCCCTGACTGGTTCATTGTCCGTTTTGGTTTTAAAAACCTTGATATACACCAATTACACAATTTTACAATAAACAATTTCATTTATACCATGTAGAGAGAGGTGATCATATATAATATATTATATGATATTTGGGCTTATTTTTTATGACCTGCATAGAACACCCAAACTAAATATACAGTTTGTATAATGTATAGAATATAGATATATACATATATGTAGAAGTTGTCTTGCCACCTAAATTTGATGATGCAAATGAAAATAAAGCTTATGTCAAAATTTGACAAGAAAGACATGGTCGACACTCGACCAAGTGGTCAAACCAATATCTGAACTGTGTTCCATGCCACTGACATAGTCCCAGATGAGCTTTTAATCGGTGTTGTCAAGGATCAAACCGATTGGTTGAACCAGTAAATAATGACCCAGTTGGTTTTCTGGGTCCCGGCTAACAGACTGATTAATCTGTTAAAACTATGATATAGTGAGCTATTCAGGGTTCTTTTCTTTTCGCTCCGAGTCTAACAACATTGGTTTTAACAATTTTAAGACTTCACTTTTGCTACAACGTGCTTTTAGCCTTGTGAATCATCGACAGCCTTTACAGCCTTACATTGAAAACACCTCTCTGAGATATTCACAATGCAAGGCTAGAATGGTTGTTCAAATGGGCTTTGCACTGGCTGAATCCGATTGGGACATGTGTGGAGTGTATTTTGTGGGGGAGTCCGTTCAAATTCAGCTACAACAATCAAAAACCATAATTTCATAAGGACCAGATCTATTCCTCGCAAAACATGCCTCATACTAACCTCCTCACAGCATGTCCTGGTCGTATACCAAAAATATCTCACTGAAGAGATATTCTTAATACATGATAGAATGTGATTGTGAGGATGATGTGATCTGTGAGGAACATATCCCAATTCATTTTCATAATATTCACGGGCCGGGTTAGGTCGGTTTATTGGGGTTTTCCCAACCGACTTGACCTGGCCRGGTTACCTGAGATAAAAACCGAAACCGACCCAGTGTTAAGCAAAACCAACCTGGTCGGTTTGAGTCGGGTTGGGTCAATTTCGGTTTTGCACTTATACAAAAAGGACATAAAAGCCTAGAAAGAAATATCTATTCTAAAAACTGAAAACTGAAGACTGAAGTTTTTAAGATATTTTCTGGAAATATATTTAAAAAGTTAGAATTAGAATAGAAGACAAAAGTTATCACGAAAATAGAAAGTCAAACTGTTTTATAAAAAGAAAGCTGAAATTTGTATATTTCAAGAAACTTTTTAAATTCTAATAAAAAAGGACACCTAATTCTAATTGTAATTGCCTAATTGGTTGCCTATTTAGTGTAAAAGACTATRGAAACTAGAATAGAGACAACTTAGTTAAATAAGAACTAGAAGACTAGGTTAGGTTGTAATTAGGAATTAGGATAGATGCGACTTAGTTGAGTAGGAACCAAGTCGGTTTGATTCGGGTCGGTTTCGATTTTCACACAAGAAAACCAAAACCGACCCAAATCATCAGTACTTATGAAAACCCGGCCAACTCGGGTTGAATCAGTCCGGGTTGGTCAGGTTGGGCCTTCTTACGAAGAGCCCTACATAATACTTGGGTGGTTTCCATTGCCATTTATCGGAAAGATTTTATAAGAATGTTTCAATGAAAATTGGGACAAATGTCTGTTGTTACTTTATGATGCCAAATAACCCGGACGGTCGAACCGTTGAGTAATCAATCACGAATGAATACATTATTGTATTGTACTTGTACACATAAATTAAGGGCCTCAGGTGTAGGTGTACAGAACACTATGGTGTGTTATGTGCTTAAACTTGGGTAGAGAACATGAATCATGTTGGAACGTATTGAAATGGTCTTTTTAGTTGAAAGGAGATCTGGAGGCGAACAGTAAACTCATGAGATGTTTCATGTGTGTTGCAATGTTACGTGGATAGATGTGGGCAGAGTTCTTGTGTGAGGAAGGAGATCCGAACTCGGACGAAGGACCTTGGTTGCACGGTTTTAGCGCAGGGCTGCTTCGATTCAAAGTGGAAGGCCATGATTTTTGGACCGAAATAGCGAGCCGAATGGCCTGATTGAACCGTGAAGTCAAGGTCGCGCCACGATGTAAGGGCTAGGCATCGGTTTCATTTCAATGTAAGTTTCACTTTTTCTAGGACGTATCACAGCCTTTGATCTATTGTGGTGGCCCCACCTGAACGTCATTCACCGAATTCAAGGTGGGGCCACAACGATACATCGAAGGCTGCGGTTTCATGGTTTCAACTCTTGAAAAGCCTGCTGACAACCCTGCAGAGCTGGCCACCTTTTCGACCGCTGTCCTAAAAGCTCCAAAAGCTGAATACGAGGACCTCCCTAAGGACGATAGCTCATGCTGGCTGCTGGGTTGCAGTCAGACCATCCATCACGAACAAGTACAACAACGAACTGTTCTAGCCTTGTTAGGGTTAAGAGTTAAGACAGGCGGCATTTGTTTATTACCTGAACTGATTCGTAGGAGCAAGACTCCGGCTGCTCTTGGGCTGAGCGTCCATGCCTGAACCAACGTCCCCTTCCTCAATATTATTCACGACTCCTTGCCCTTGGCCGTCCTTCCAGCCTGCAGACAAACGCCATTTCCGGCCAGCTGCGACGAACACCTGCGCCACTCGAGTTAAAGGACTACCATTTGGTTCTTGCCGCTGGTAAGTTCTCCGCCCGAGGAGAAACAAGGCAAGCGCGATAGCCATTGCCACAGTTGTGATTCCATACCCAACAGCCCATCCCACATTGTCCTGCACGTAAGGTACCACCAGCGTCGCTGCCATGGAACCACCACTCATCCCAAAGTACCACCAGTTGAAGAACGAACTCTTGGCTTTCTTCTCCTCCGGTCCATCCTCACTGAACTGATCAGCCCCGAACGTCTGTACACACGGCTTGTGCCCTCCTTCCCCCACTGAGACGATGTAGAGAGACAAGAAAAACAGTTGGCGTCGAAACTGTGTTGCGATCTCCACTGAAACTGATAAAGTTAACATAAGCAGCCCCTGCATGTGGTCAGATCAACCACAAATAGAGTACTCCATGATCAAGATCAAGTCTGAAATATATGATGAGAAGAATTTGCAGAGCTCGACCAACCCACCATTAGATAGATGATGGATGAGAAGAAGATCGTTCTAAGACGACCCAAGAAGGAATCAGCGATCACAGCCCCAAGCAAAGGGAGAAGAGTTGATATTCCGACCCAGATGTTGACGTTCTTGGCAGATGTGGCAGTGGCTTCGCCGAGGACATCTGTGAGATACGTGATGAGGTTCCCCAGCATGCCATAGAAAGCGAATCGTTCAGCAATTTCGACGCCTGATGTAAGAAATATCAAGAAAAGAAAACATATATAGAAGGTTCGAACTTTGAACAGACCCAGCTCACCAGCTGATGAAAAATTACGGTCCAAATAGTGAGACTTACCGATGATATATATTGCCGATCTCCATCCTCCATTAGAAGATTCTTGTTGCAGAGAAAGCTCCATAGGTTGAGGCTCCATGTCTGCGTAGTGGTAAAGATTAAAACAAACAAAATGTAGAGAGAGGTAATAATGGAGGAAACAATCTAACACCAAATCGTATTTAAAGTGAGCCCGAGTCACCTACTGATGAAACCCTCTTGTTGCATGAGACATGGAAAGGACTGATTCTCCACGTGTATTTGGCATGCATTGGACTTCCATTTCCATTACTTCTCACACAGTAAGAGAGGGTTGAGGACTGAGAGAGGCCTCAATATATTGAGTCCTTATTTAATGACAGCGCTTCAATAAATAAGACTGAACCAGGGGTCAGACCAGGAATTCAACTTGAATCTTACATATTTGCATCTTTGATAATCAATTTGTTCTTGGATTGTTGTTCCATTTACTAATGCTTAGTTCTTATGATTTATGATAAAATTGGATACTAAATAGAAATGGGTCGACATCCAATCAATTGAACCATGGTTGGACCTGGGTTCATCTGGTTCTCAAAACAGTTGTTTAAATATTAATAAAGGCTCTTGCAGAGCAGACAACCCCATGTATCTCAGCTCCCATCAAGAGTTTTGTGTCCCCTATCTGAACCGTTGGATAGGCATCTCTAATCTTGGGGATTGACTGAATCTATCAAGACTTTGATGATGTCAGACATAGCTCATGTGAAGTTGTGAACCAAAATAGAAGATTCCAGGCTTTCCAGCTGGCTATGGATACAGGGCCCCACAATCCAATTTGTGATGTCTAATCAATCCCATCAAAGCTCTAATTTTGGATCTTGAAAAAGTCCAATTTTTTGGTTTCTACCAATTAACCTTGCAAGAACGACTTCAAGCTATATAAGCGCCCTCTTAAGTGGTGTTCTATCAAAGCTCCTCTTTAGCTTTTTATTGTTTTTTTTTATTTTTTTTTATTTTTAAAGGTTTACATTGTGCGTATGGATCCACCATCCCATGTGCAAAAAGTAGCATTTAGTTCAGGGAATGGTAGTTTTATCTCTTGTTACGGTGAATGTCACATCCCTGGGAAAGGCAACTCTTCTTACAAATAGATATCCACGTATGCATGTACAGTAACCTAAGTTATATGCATGTAGGGCCCAACTATCAGGCTGATATGGCATGTCCCAACAACCCCTGGTTCCCATATAAAGTTTTGGATTCACTCCAACAAGAGATTTTGCATTTTAATCATCTACAAGGGTATTAGTATAGTCAGTTTTCTATTAAATTATAAGTTTTTAGCTTTTTTTTGTTTTGTAAGCTTAATTTGGAAGGAATATAAATATAAATATGTAGAGTATTTATACTCTTTCTAAATTGTAGGAAAAGGTTTGATGTAACGATGATGATGATTTTTTTTTTTTTCTATTTAAAAGACAGAGAAATAAAACTATTGAAGTTTAACTTATCGGTTATTTTTTTTTCTTTATAGAACCAGAAAGGGGCTACACAGAATGGGGGTAGCATGTCCCCAGAAATCAAAGTAACAAATAACATTTAAAGGCCTAGGAATGGAGTTAGTAAAAACTTTGGTGGAGCGCATATAGTTAGCTAATCAGTTCACAGCAATATTTCCTTCTCTATAAATGTGCTGATACTTTACTTTTCCTTCAAATCCCTAGATCAAAGCTCTACAATCTTCAATAATTGGAAACACTCTCCATGGGGGATGGAAATTCTTTTCAAATAATCGATTACAAGCTTCAAATCTTCTTGATGATAATATAATTATTAAGAAAATTAAAACTAAGATTGTAAGCCTCCCAAACAGCCTAAGTACATTAATTGTAGACTTACCTAGTTTGTACACCTTGAGTATTGTTGAGTAGCTTCAAGACATCATTGATTTTTTTATAGCATTACATATTATAAACTTATCACAGAACGGAGAGCCTACAATCATGCAGATTTGATCCCGCACCTCCATATTTGGAGGGATATTGAGTGATCATACATATCAGCTATTAGGTCATCTTCCCAAGACATCATTGAATAAGTTTGTAAATTTCTAGTATTTTTTATTGAATTCTCTGATTGCTCATGTCATTTATTGTAAGTCGCTCATGCATCACTTAGGGAGGTGAATTAATTCTTTTGCACCATCGTCCTGAGACCCCTCACTGCTTTACTCCGACGGCCTTTTGCTGCACCATCTATATATGCATCTTGATCCATCCTTCTGGTGGTGGAACCATATTGATGACCTACGCGCACCCTCATGCCTTGATCAGAGATCAACATTAGTTGTTCAACAACCCCTAAAATCCTCTTTTAACGACTCTTAATCTAATTTGCAGGTTATGAGTAAATTTCTTTCATTTCTTATCCCCAAATTATTCAGAGAATGTTAGCTGGTTTGCTCCAGCATATGCACGGATCGGTAGATATGGATCCAATTCCAGTAGGAGTGGCAAGGGAGGAGCCAAGTACGGCACGGCTCGGCCTGCAGCCCGGCTTGACATGGCCTATATATATATTATTTATATATATTTATATATATAATATTATATAAATATAATTATATAATAATATTGATGAAAGATGATTTGACCCGACCTATGAAATGACGATACGTGGACGCCGATTCAGCGTAAGCGACAGCTCAGCATCGTGTTCCGATACGGTTAAGTGATAGGCCCATAAAGCAGCCCGCTACGTGGTAGCGAGGTAAAGGAGGGGCTCGCCACAATGCAAGCTCCGAGTTCCCCGAGCTACCTCAAGGGATATTCCGAGGCAAACTTTAACTTGCAATCTAAGAAAGCCAGCTCGCCCGAGCTCCCGAACAAGGCAAATCATCCGAGGACCAATTCTACTAAGGGTACTTCTGAAGTATTCAAAGCTCGTTGCAGAGTAGCTCGCGAATGGGCCACACAAGCTTTCCTCAGGAAGCTTCTAGTTAATAAGCCGTACCTGTCAGACTGGGCCACGACCCTAACTGACGGCGCAGTCCCTGTCCTTTCGACAGTCTGCGCCCACGTCTCTCAGTAGGCGGGGGCGTGCCTGTCACTTTGGAGACGTGTCACTCGCCCAAGTAAGGAGAACGTCCCAACGGCCACCTGCGCACCCCTGGCAGGTAACGGGTGTGGCAGGGACCCAATGGCGGTTATGCCCGATCTCGCAAGAGCGCTCCTATAAAAGCCCCCCAGGGCAGAAGAGAAAGACTCTCTTGAGACCTCTAATCTCTGGAATATAGTGATAAAGCGCGACCTCCACTCTTAGCTTTCATTTCTCTCTTTACTCCCCATACACAGTACTAACTTAAGCATCGGAGTATTCCCATCGGGCAAATCCCCGGGAATCCTTCTTTTCATCTTCTCAGGTGCCGTTCGTTGCCAGCAAGGAGCCAGTCAGCCGCCAGGTAGGAGTGCCCGGATCGCGCCACATCATTTGGCGCCGTCTGTGGGAAAACGCTTCAAAAGGCCTTCCCCTTTAAATTCTCAGTTACTTCTTCTTCCTTGAAAACAACTCAGCACTCATGGCTTCCTCTAGCAACATCGGACGAAGCATGGAAATGGGTAACTCTAGGGAGCAACCCTAGTCTCCTACTGTCTATATCGGTCAGTTCACTGTCCCCCATTCCCCGCTACAGTCGAAACAACGTTCACCAAGCCCTCGGTCGTGCCCCCAGCGGCCAGCCCGAACCAGCTGGAGGACCTGATGCAGTGCATGAAGGCCATGTAGGCCTAAATGCAACAGTTCCAACAACTTCAGCTCTATCAACGGCACGTGCTGCACCAGGTCTCCCAGTACCAGTATCAGCAGCAGTTTCCCCAGCTGCCCCAACCCCAGCTTCAACAGCCTCAACTCCAGCATCAGCACCTGGCCCCGCAGCAAGCCAAATCTCGCCGCCAGAGCGAGCACTCCGGCCGAGGAGAAGCCCCCCAAAATCTCCCAAAAAACCAGGCCTCCCCCCTCGGCAGACGAGAGAGACCGGCTACCCCGATCTCGCCGTGGGTGGACAGGTCGGGAGGACCCCGGCTCGGCAGGTCAACGTTGCCTCGACAGTCGAAGTTCTGAACCCCAACCCTTGAAAATCGGTTTGAGATCCTGGCAGCAGACTTTAAGCAAGCCCCTTCTGTCCGCAGCCATCACCAGCAGACCGGGCTGCTCTCGGCGCAAACCATTCTGGATAGCGCGGAGGTGAGCAACACTAACGCCGAGCCCACCAAGAAGCAGAGACGCCGCTGCCGAGCTCGTCGATCTGTCACCCGCGATTTGCCCGAGATCATGGGCAAAGAAGAAGTAGGCTCGGCCGAAGCCAAGGCTCCCCTCCTCTCGGTTCCGTCCCCCTGTCCTCCGAACTCTTGGCAGTCCCAATGCCCAAGGATTTCAAGCTTCCCCCTCATGACAAGTATGGCAGGTCGTTCGACCCGAATGATCACAGATGCACCTGGCGCGAGCCAGTGAGTCATGCATGTGCGTGGCCTTCTCCACTACCTTCAGGGGAGTAGCACGCACGTGGTATTGAAACTTGGCACCCGGGTCAATAAGAAGTTGGGCGCAGTTCGCACAAGCCTTCACGTCCCACTTTGTCACCAGCAAACGGTGCCCGCGGACTGAAGAAAGCATCTTCAATGTAGCCCAAAGAGAGGGAGAGTCCATCCGAAGTTATATCAAGCGGTTCAATGACGCTTGTATGTAGATACCGCGCTTGGACCCCGTCGTACG